ATTTAGAGGAAAACAGTTATTTTCTGTGTCAGGTTGTGCTACACTCTGAATTTGAATTAATTACCGTCTTCGCACAACAATAGTTTATAAATAAATTCACAAACAAATTGATTTTATATCATAACTACTCTACTATGACATGTTTTCTTGTCCATCTGCTGGGAATTGTATACATTTATTTGTAAACAATTGTTGTATAAAGATTCCAATTAAAACGTGTATATAATTCGATTCCCGGCGGTGCCCGAATTTATAACTTGTGTTGGGCAAGGCCGTGGTCTAGGCAACACGGAGTTTTCCTCCGTGGCATCCCAACAATTACTCCATTCACACACAGAAGAAGGCAATGGCAAACCACTGCTGGATCATCTGCCAAGAACGTATATGAACAGGCCCCAGTCCGAGAAAAGGATGGAAGGACCCTGTTCATATGGACCTGTCGTCAGACAGAACACCAAATAAATAAAATAAAATATACAGTTTATTTAGTAGATCTTATGATGTAAGTATATAACACACATAAAACTGTAATACGAATTTATGTACGTGGATTTACCTGACGCACATTTACGATGAATAAGAAATACGTCTGGCAAGGGAATGTCTTGTAGGGAACAAACCTTATAGTCGCTTATCTGTTCAAGGAAATCCCCCGCCATTTATGTAATCTGATGTTTCGCTGTGTGTTCACAAGAGTCCGCCACTTGTCTCAGCCCTGATAATGCAGTCCAGACCCCCCCCCCCAGATCTTATTTCTTTGAGATCCATTTTAATATTATATTAACATGTTTCCCGAGCGGTCTCTCTCACTTCAGATCTTCTTAGTAACGTAAGAATTATACTTTTCTGTTGACACGTGCTGCTTATGAACTCTTCTCATTTTATTTTATTCATAATGGAACACGCAACTGTGAACGAATCAGATTTCGTCTATCGGAAAGCCAATCGATTGAACTGACAACAATATAATTCAGAGGTGGATTTATGTTTGGTTTTAATACTTGGCATGTTTACTCGTGTGAATTACCTTCTCCTAACTCTTTGTCTTAACAATGGAAAGTGTGATCTCAATTCGCCAGAGCTTTTGTGATGGACTGGGGAATATGTCGAAACATTTGTTTGGTTAGTCGATTACAGTAGGGAGGAATTCGACGTAAGCTCTACGTCACAGTGTCCTGTACATTCCAGGATCTCTTCGTAGACAAAAGCAGACGAATAAACAAGATTAATCCCAGAACCGTAAATTTTGTGTGTTTATCACGAGACCTCGGAGGGAGGGAGGGAGGGAGAAATCATCTGATTAGACTGACGACCCCGTGGCGGGCTGTCACGTGACTCGCATTAGCGCTTATGTTATTACAGCGATTCTAACCTGCATTTGATCGGTGCTGTATATAACGGTACATAGTCCACAAATAACCGGTCGAAATTAAACAGGAAGACAATAATCACAAATAGAGATCATTACGACGTCATGAAATGTTCATCCATTAGATTTGTTAGGTTAGCACAGTGCAAACTGCAGTTATCATTATCTTTACCCTTCGGAATCCCTCGGACAGAGTCAAACCAAGTGGATACCTGAGTAAGAATGGACGGAACGCAATGCTACGTACTCGTTTCAATGTAGTCCCAAGATTATGACTGTGGAGTTTTTCCTCCGTCACTCTAACACCCCTTCAAGGCCTCAGGGAAATTTTCCCCATCTTATTTTGCTGACGTGTGATTCTAGTGGATTTTTCCAGGAGCTTGTTCGAAATGCAAGCCTTTAAGCTTCAGAATCTTAGTAGCATGTCAATAATTTTCGACAAATCGTCGTAATTTGTAACCAGGTGCCCCGCTAGTCGATGAAGTGATTATGGTCCCAGTCGTGCAGTCTTCAAAGTCTGAGAACACCAAAGTTATAAGGTTGCCCCCCTTTAAAGACATTTTCGACAAGCAGTCACGTGTCTTAGTGCAGCAAAAGTGTCCTCTCGTGGTTTGTAAACGACGAACACGTAGGTACTGACTTATCTTTACCTTCGGGACACTAGGAACGTCTCGCTGTAACTCGGGAGATCAGCACTAACGCGAATACATTCGAATTACCAGAAGGGGCTTACGCACCGACACAACGAGAATGATTGATGGATGTTCTATTTCGCAATATCCACGTCCCGTCCCCCTAGTGCATCACAGACTATTAGATATCAGCAAACGAGGGGAGTAATTTAACATCCCTAAAACACCCGGACCAATCTTGAGTTAATTGTGGTATTTTGATAATTTGTAAGACCTCAAAATGTAAGAGCTTGCATTTGAGATTACAACATGGAATTCATGTTTACAGTGTATTCACGCGCTAGGCTCATGCATGATGTGACATGAACAAGATGCCCGATGTAAAATAACCAATTGCATATTTTTTTTAAAAAAAAGTCAATTTTCTTAATTCTTTATTCCGGATAATAGTTTTTGACATGCGCAGAACAAATAAGAAATGCACACGAAATTTTAATGACGAATACCTGACACAAGGATACCACAATAATAGACGCAGATGGGAGAATAATATTAAAATTGACGAACGAGGTTATGGTCTGGATTTATCTTTGCTGGCTCTTGTGAACAAGGCAATGAACCTTGAAGGAATTTATAGACCAGTCGAGTGACTCTTAGCTTCTCAAGAAGATTTCTGTTTCGCTGTGTCGTGGAGTTAGTTGTAGAAAATTATTCAGAACATTTGCATTTCATTCACACTTATTGACA